CTGGACACGCTCAATGAGAGTGACGTCTTTCGTACGTCCTGAGTAGACAACTTGGTTGGCGTACACCAAGAGCGGTCTGACGTAGGCCCCATAGAGTATTTGGAAGTCCATGGGAGTAATACGTGAGAAGGTGCGTCGGATCATCCGATGAATCAAAGTGAGCATTCATAATGACCAGGCAAAAGAAAACAATACGACGAAATGAAAGGAAAGTTAAAAATATCTAGAAAGACTAGGGCTCACCAAATCAGAAGCTTGCGTGCTCGTGCCATGTCAGGCTCACCACATTTGCAGTGGTCTGGGTACCCAAAAGGCTACTTTACCGGGAGTGTGTGGCAAAGAAACAGAAATAATAAAGCTAGGTTGTGTATACAATAATAAAGAGGTCAGCTGGTACAGGGCCACTAAAAGTTGCTCCCCTAAAATAGTTCGTCGTTGGCTCAGGTGATGGAATAAATAATTATCCTATCACAGTTGTCCGGAGGCCTTCTTCCGAGCAAAACGCGCATATGATAAATCCCGAAGATAGTCCGAGATGTTTTGATACCAGAGTTAGCGTGTGAAACTCACGGATGACCGCTCCAGGCGCGAGCAAAACAACAGGAGAGGCTCGGAGCACGTGACTACATCTGTATTGCGTGAAATTGTACAAATGGGCGTCTTAGTAGTTTTTTGCACTCGAACAGAAATTGTTCATGCAATTGACGAAATAGGCGATGTTAAAATGGAAGCAAACTAAATGTACTAATCACCATAAGCCCAAGCGTTTTGGTGAACGACTTCGGTCAACGCAGATGCAAGATGTTCACTAAACTAAATGCTCTGTACTTCCATCCAGGATACCTTTGGAGCGTTATAATCTCCTACCAATAAGATATGTGTGAAGTGGTAAATGCAGAAGAATTCCTCAATTGTTTGTATGAGGAATTGGTTATCTTCCGAGGGACTAGATGGTCAAGGATGGGCCATGCCGTGAAGAAGAGAATCGGTCCCGAACAGTAGGAATTAAATCGACTGTGCACCATAAAAAAGGTGCAGGAGTAAACAAAATGGGTAGGCCAGTTCATATGTGAGTATAAATCAACCCCAGCCGTGTCTGAGGTCTTTACGAACGTTGCTACACCATTTCTTACTTGTATCTTTAAGGAACAATGAACCTCCGGAGGGCGGTAATAAACCTAACTCAAAATCTTGACGGGAGCGACAATCCATGGCATTCATCAGTCCATAGGTAATTATCTTGTTAGAATCAATGAGTAGGATGGGCGCGAGTGGATCGTTTTCGAGGCGCGCACTTTTACTCTCCACACAGTCGACGCCCCGTCATGTCTTTCAGTATCAAGTTGGTTTTTTGTATATTTTTTTCGTAATTCGAATTTAGTACCTCGTTTGGGAGGACGTCGTTTCCAAAGTTCGTGATATCGAAATGCGGTGAATCCGGAAGTAGCGACGCACATCTACATGCGAGATCTCACCTTGAACATGTAGTCAATCTTGACATCGATGGAGAAACTCCTGCGGTCCGGAACACCGGGATTATTTGCACAATAGGTAGATTTTTGTTTTTTTCCGAATGCTCATGACGTTCGCTGTCACTTGCGATCCATGCAAACGCGGTTCGTTAACTTTGTAAACGAAATGTGACCTGATAGAGATTTGCCGTTTCTAAAACCGGCTTCTGCTTAGATTGTAAACTGACAGAAGAAGCCAAATGGATCGTTGAAATTTTATATATTTTTGTATCCCGATTGAAATTGGAATGATTCTCAGACGTGCGCATCGCCACTCGAATAGATTGGGACCTGCCTCACTCAAAAATACTTGGTGAAATCTAGCAACTGAGAATGGTCTTTGACGCCAGACGTCCACATCACGAATAAAGTGTAGTATCTATGCTTCGGGTTCATACGGGACATTGTATTCCTCTCCTTGCCCGTCAATTCCCAGTTTTCGAGATGTTAAATTTGTCATGGTTGCTTCCCAGTGGATTCCACTGAGTGCCGTTGCAGTGGAAATTCGGACTGAGTAACTGTTGCAGCGACGAATGTAAAGATGAAGATTGGCGGTACTTAACATTTTTTCTGTTTAGTTGGAAGACTTGCACTATGCCAGATATCTGCTGAATTTGTAGCTGTCGCTTATTTTTGTGACATGTGCGGATGGGAACAGACTCAGCAGCTCTTGAGATCTCTTTCGTTCAAATATCCCGGCCCAGTGGCGTCTGTATCCAGACAGTGCAGCATTTGCCTCCTTTGGTGTTGCCGTTAATGATGTAGTCCAACAAATGAAGACCCGTTGCTTTGTGCTGCTGCTCTTAAGCCAGCCCGTGCTTCTTTGAAGGATCCGAATAAGAAAGAGCAGTAATGTTCTAATAGTCGATATTCTTGAACGAACGCCCCGAAAGTATTTCTATCCCCGAATTTTCAGAACCAGGCAGGGAAATCTCAATCAATGCCTCCATAAAAAACTTGAAGAGGAATGGTGAGAAGTAAAGTTTTGTCTTACACCGCTTACATCGCTTTACTCAAGCGAAAGCTGATTGTGTGCTCGCGCGCGGCCGCAACAGTTCGCATAAATTTGGAATGGACACCTCGTAGCTAGACATCGCCAAAGTTTCTAAGGATCGATAGAATCAAAAGCAACTTTCTGATAGAAACTACCAACGTAAGAGATTTCAAGGTTTGGCGTTTCTCAAGATGCTGCCGATGCATCATTGGCCAGGGCGAATTCCAGCTTAAATCTCACGAGTTTCTCTGCCCCGATAATTGATCAGCCTGTGCAAAGTAATAACTAGAAGCATCTTGGATTCCGTGATGGTTTTCACATAACCTTCCGACATTTTTGGAGATTAAAATCGTGGTTGATGCGCTCCATTCCACTAGTATTCTGATTTCGTCCTGAATAGCCTGCAGCATGGTCGGCAGACTTTATCAGATGCTCAACGCCCCTGAAGAGTGTGGGGTAGAGACCATCCCGTTCGCTTGCCTTGTCCCGTTGGGGGAATGATATCCCACGTCGGATTTCTGTGGTTGATGGCGGGGTGGTTTCGGTGCTCCATTCCGGCTGGTTGGTTCTTCTAGCAGTTTTGCTGGATGCCAGGTTAGCTGCCTGTTTAAGTGTCCAGATCATCGTTCAGGATGAAGAATTTACAAATGCTGTCTTTTTTTGCGGCTTCCTTCCCTGATTGATCCAGGATGATCAAATCAGCTTCCGCTGAGGGCGGCTATTTCCCGTAGCAAAAGCCTTCTCCATCTCCCGAACTGTTGCAACCCTCCGGTATTATTTGTCGTTGTTCAAGCTCGTGATTATCCGTCGTTTGAAGGATCTACATGCAACCAGCGTAGTAGCTGGTTGCAGTTGTAGTTTTCCCGATAGCAATAAGGTCTGGCTATCTGGACGATATCCAGTCGAATCGGATGGCCAGGACAAACAATTATGGAAGTTGAGAATTCAGGTTCTTAAACTCGCTTCCATTAAGCCTCCGAACGGTCTTCCGCATCAGCGTAACTGCATTTTTCTAGTCAGATCAGCTCGATACTACTGAGCTACAAAAACTCATCGAAGTTGATGAACGAGGTTGCTTTGCTTTGACACGAGTAATGCTGACGGAAAGCAACGTGACAACAACCCGTACAACGGCGTAATCGGAGCCAACTTTCGCACCCCAGAGAGAACCGCAATATCTAATTGAGGCTTTCCATCTATAACTGATAGCCACGTGGCCTAACTGAGCCGATGACTGCCTTACGGTTGCCAGTTGCAGGTAACACGGTGTAAGCGTTTGTACTAAAAGTCTATACTGGCCAGGGACGGACGATATTCAGCACACAACTGTAGAACTCACTCGCCATTATCCGCACGCTGAGCATCGACCCCATATTTGCCACTTGACTGTACTTTTTACGGGATCAGCAGTTCAATTCTGGCGCTCATACGATCCATGAACATGATCATATCCGTTATTGCTGACCAAAGTGGTCGAGGTCGATATACGTAAAACTGGTCCTTTTCAGACTCAAAGCTGCAGGTAATCGTATCAATGACAAATTCGAAGGGGAAATGGGAAAGAGGAAAGGGGACACCGCTTTATGTTGTGAACTCAGGCGGAAACTCCCCATAGACCTTCACACGTCCTCCTGAGTTTGCGTACAGCGCCTTAAGGAAGGTCAGGAATTTACTGGGTACATCTTTGTTCCACATAAAGGGGCGAGATGGCCCAAGTGGTTAGAGCGCGAGTTTACGAACCGGAATATCCGTGGTTCGAACCCGACCTATGCCACTCGATTTCCCCTGTCTAGGCTTGGGCAACCTGGCAGTATCCTAGCCTTCGTGATTCCTTCGTGTGGCATGGCAGTTTGGCATCGGAAAGGTGTTACAGCTTAATAGTTTTTTATACTACGCAGAACAGTCTAACATTTTTAATGACCAAGTAAATAAACATGGGGTAGATTTAATAAAACAGCTTAGTCATCAGTGCTCGCATGCCATTCGTCAGTTCCGTCGAAGTTTTATTCTATCGAACTGTGGTCACGTGATAACCCAATCCTTCTACGAGTGATACGGGACGGCTGACTAAACACGGTATAATAACACTGACCACAAATCAACGCTACTCTCGTTTTCAATTTATCAAAACACGGCCTGCAACACAAATCAACCATGTGTACACATACACACGCCTACTATATATGAATGCGGACAGAAACATTCAACAGTATCCCAGCCCTCGTGCAATCTTCGGGTGGCATGGCAGTTAGGCACTGAAAGGGTGCTACAACTGAACGATTTTTTTTATTTTTTTCGCTCCACATCCACTACCATAGTGTCTGATGATTCACAGATTCGAAGGCGGATTCCAAGTCGAGGAACACAATTACTGTTGGCCGCTGGAAGCAGTGTCGCTTTTCCAGATTCCGTCGGAAGGTGGAAATGTCGATACATCATCTTGCAGGACGGAATCCAGCTTGGTTTTCAACCTCCGAAAGAACAAACTCTAATGCACCTTCGATGTTACAGCTTCCTGGCTGATACCACGTGGTTTTCACAAAGCGTCCGCGTACCCCTTTTAAAGATAAGAGCGACTGCCGACATGCCCAATTCTTCAGGCACTTTCTCTTCACTACATGTCGCACTAATGAGCTTTACTAGATGGGTCACCAAGGATTCTCCGCTTTCTTTGAAGATGGCCGGATACGGACCGTCCGGTCCTGGCGCCTTCTCACATATCAGGGGCTAGGCGAAGGCGGCCCTGAATGCGGCCAGAAGGGGTCCTCGGAAGATGGATTAGCCGCCTCGAAGGAACTTCTTGCAGCGGGATTCGACAGACTGGCAGACCACCAGGAGGCTAGGAAGCGGTTCAAGGCGGTCAAGATGGAACTGGAATGTGACTAGACGGTGTTCTTTACCAGTCTGTTGCGGTGGTTGGATCGTGCCTTGTCGGGACTCCAACAGGTGACAGATTGTCAATGCACTGAATGTGCCTAGGCGACAGGTCGGTGCAGTCCAGACCTAAAGCACAATTTTCGGAGCAGGTTTCCTCAAGAGCACAGAATCTGTGGTGGATGTAAAGCGAGGCAAGCTGATGACAGTAGGGTTCAGTCAAGCTTGAAGGTTACCCAAGCACTGCTGTGAGCGAACTGCGTATCCAAAAGCTTCCGTCTTGCAATGTGTCATCAGTACAGTCTGTGGTCGCGGAGTATTACTGAACCGTTCACAGGCGATTAAGATCCGTTTGGCTTCTACCTGTGGATCAAACACTAAATCCCTCTCTCGTCTGAGCGCTCTCAACCTTCCAACCCTCGTCAGCTACTGCTCCATCTACGGGAGGAAGTACATGAACAAGCTCAAGAGATGTCGGAAAATGACACAGTCGAGGGATCCAACAGTGCGCACAGCTCACCGGTTGTGTTTGTGAAGAAGGCGAGAGGGGAATACAGACTTTGCTTAGAGTTCTGGCGTTTGAACGAACTGACCGTAAGTCGGGTTGTAGCTATCCCTTCGGTTGCGGATATTTTCGGTCCAGTCCAGCAATCCCGATATTTCACGGTGTTCAACTTGCATTCCGGAGACTGGCAACTAACTAACAATTCAGAGAACCGGGAGGAAACGGTATTCATGGTTGGGAACACCTAATATCAGTTAATACGTATACCGTTTGGTGTTTCAGGGGCGTTATTCATTTTTCGGCCATTAATGTCCCGTTTAATGAAGGGACCACAGAATGTTGTCGTGTACAGAGATGATATCGTACATATGTATAGTGATTGGGGCGAGATGGCGCAAGTGATTAGAGCGCGAGTTTACTGACCGGAAGGTCCGTCGTTTGAACCCGACCTCTGCCTCTCGACTTCTCCTGTCTAGGCTTAGGCAACCTGGTAGTATCCCAGCCCTCATGCTTCCTTCGGGTGGCATGGCAGCTAGGCACCGTGTGTTATAGCTGAACGTTTTTTATGTATAGTGATTCGGAACCAGAACACGCCGCTTTCATGAAAATCGTACTGAAGCGCATTCGGGAAGCTGACTTTTGGATAAATGAAACCAACAGCTCTTTCGAAGTTCGATGACACTGCTCTGGCATAAATTGGATCAAGGAAAAGTTATCTCACTGCTGGAAAAGCTGTCAAAGACCCAGGACTGTGTCGTCCCTAATTCAGAGGTTCTTACAGCAGTTTCTTGTACGAGCGGTATATTGCATTTGGTATTTCAAGGATTTCAAAACCATTGCTGCTCCACTGAAGGACTTGCTGCGTCAACACCGGAAGTTCGAATGGACAGGAGAAGCGCCTGAGGCCATCAAAAGTACCAAAGCGTGGATGCTGGATCAACAACAGACCCTCAAACTACCCAGGATAGGGAACATGTTAACTGGTGCAACGCTCACTTAAAATAAAATCGTTCAGCTGTAACGCCCTTTCGGTGCCTAGCTTCCACGTCACCCGAAAAAAGCACGAGGGCCGGGATATTGCCAGATTGCCCAAGGTTAGACAGAATAAGTCGATGGATACTAGTGACCGGGGTATCAGTGCGGTCCTAAAGCAATGGGACGGGGTAATCGAACATGCCATGACATTTACAGCTGACAGTGCTCTCATGCCACATCGGGCGTCGCGTGGTGGCATCACCCGGGTCGCCTAACCTGCTGCATACAGCAGGGCGGGTGAGCGAAAGCATACTACTGCTAACGCATCCATTCTTATACTTTCACGTTTTCCGTCTTCCACCCCATCACCCAAATTTGAATAATTTCTCCGCAGGTCCCAACACTAAGACTGACTGTTTTGCTCTCTCTCTGCGTCACACGCCTGCAGCTTTTGTACATCCGAAATCAGTCACAACCTTAAACCCTTCGAAGTCTGTTTTCAAACCCCGAAAGCCTGTCTACCTAGCTGCCAATAATGTTCGCACAGTGATGCAAGCAGGTCAACAAGTGGCTCTTGCTCGTATGCTGGGTTTCCTCTTCGTTGATATATTTTAAGCAGGTCAACAAGTGGCTCTTGCTCGTATACTGGGTTTCCTCTGCGTTGATATATGTTATCTGCCAAAAACAAGGATGCAGGACGCAAGTGCTGTGATCAAACTGACTCCCCTCGCTCTCCCATGTTTCGGCTGCGCACCTCAGATGATACAGAGGTTGTTGCAGCTGGGTATGCTGAGGTGGGTACTGTATTGAGCGAACGAGCGGAAGCGTCTCTGCTGATTGGATACCCGTTGATAGTCGCTTCTGTGCGGTTCGTTTGGGAACATCTGTGAGAGAATCCAGAGGAAGTGAGGTCCATCGCGCCCTGTTTGTTGTCTTCCTACGCCCCAACTGACTGTATCTCTGAATCTGCCAATGGCAGATGCAAAGAGTGCTGGAAACGTCCGCAAGCCGGTTCACTTGATTCGTTCAACTGGCCCTCGGAAACAGTGAAACGGTCTGGGACTAAAATGGCTCCCTAATGTTCAGCAACGTTTTGACCGCTGGGCGCTGTACTTCGAACAGCGATTCAGCTGGCCACCTGCTACCTTCAGTCATTCAACAGAAAGGTGGACTGTAGATGCGGAGCCGCCTTCGGTCTCAGAAGTGTACGAGTGTATTTCCGTACTAAAGCTTCATCGTGCTGCTGGTCCTGACGACCTTCCACTTCCTCTTTTCAGGAATGGCGGTGGGCTTCTCAGCCAGTGCCTCTCTAGCCTATTTAGGTCTAGCTGGTAAAAAGAGATCGTGCCAGACAACTGGGGGGGGATCGATAGTAGTGCCCTTTTCAAAAAAGGGTACTCACACTGAATGCAGTAACCACAGAAATGTTTGACTCGTTGTGACAAGGCTGCTGGCATCACTGATCCGACAACATGCTGGTGCCAGTTCGGTTGGGTTGACCTCTAGTTCTTCAGCGCATGCCCTTTCCACGTGTGATTTGAATCCTGTCCGTACTGTGCTTGAACCACCTGCCTGCTCTGTCCCAATTAAATGAAGTGACCTTCGGTAAACTCTGTCCGAACGCACCTGGGAAGTAAGGGGAATTAGTTTAAATGACTTTTATACGACTTATGTTCGTAGTACTGTTTATAATCAGGCATTTTTCAGACATATTTGGGTCGTTGTGTTAGATTTTTCCAATCTGTTTACTAACTGTTCTGTAAAATTCTTTCACTTAAAAAGGACCGGCTTGCCGAAGCGTGGAGATGCTACAGAAGATGATTGAGTCAGGCATGAACATCGCTCGACTGAACTTCTCCCATGGCACACATGAGTATCATGCCGAGACGATCAAACTCATCCGTGAGGCTGCCGACTCGATGACTTCTGTTACGCGACCAGTCGCAATCGCCTTGGACACGAAGGGACCCGAAATTCGCACTGGATTGATGTTTGGGGTATGTTAAATTGTAGTCGTTTTAATCGGAATCTTTTTGGGTACCAAGCTGTTATTGAGCCTAAATGCGCTGACAAAGAGACGTTACCAGTGAAATCCGAGTGTAACCACTAGGTGACAGGACCTTGATGTGGTGTGGCGGTTTGCGCACCTCAGCGACCCATTGAGCTATAGTGGGGGATGTCCCCGCGACACTCACAGTCCCTCATACCAAGTTGGTCAATGATTAGAGATCTGCCACACACAGTTTCCTAACCCTCCAGGTTGGGGGTTGGAACATGTGGCGACTTGTTCCGTAGAAATGGTAATGCATTTGCTCTTACCGTCAAACACCGCCGTCTTGCGGTCAGGCTTTTGAGCCAATCATCCTCATGTCTAGTTGTGGGCGCCCTGACAGTATCCCAGTCCACATACAACCATGAAACTTACAACTAACAATACTCTTATGCCTCATCGGCCGTCGCGTGGTGCCATCAGCTGGGTCGCCTTACTTGTCGCACACAGCAGGGCGGTTAAGCGAAAACAGGCTACTGTTGACGCCTCTCTCTTTCTCTTTCACATACTTTTTCTCCCATCCCTCCTACTGTACGACAGTGAAGCATCGGTGTTGAACACTGATGTCATGTTGTCGATGATGATGACCGTACTCGCGCTTCGCTTTTACACCTTTTCAGGCCCTTTTTTTCAAGACCACATAAAGGAATATTGTGATATGTTATTGGTTCGTCTCTGTCATTTACTCTTCGAGTTTGGTGTATCGTGGACATTCGTCTTCTTATACCATCATTATAAAGCATCCAGGATGTGAATCTGGATGGTAGTCTCCAAGTTGGCGACCATCCAGGACCTGAGTAAATTCGACCAGTAGTTACATCTTTCACTCTCTTGATGTTCGCGGTTTTCTAAGTAATCACCGAGAGTCACTAGTTGGGGCATGTATTCCACTAGGCGTGCGCTTTGTACACACAATGACTCAGGTGTGTGTTATGTGAAGTTCTCGGTTGTGTTTGGTGTTGTCCAAACCAGGATGAGGTGAATTAAAACGGTCTAGCCACGAACCGGGCACAAGTACAGGAGGTGCTTGCAAGTAAAGCCGATTGTTGTTCATCATTCGAATCGGAAAATCAAGTTCTTTACAGTGTTATAAAAGTAGTGAGGCTATGCAACACACCATCCGGATCTAATCGAGTCAAAACATGATGATTGTGTTGATTTTTCCACAATTTTCACTGTTTTGCTGCAGAGTGATGCGAAATAAAACAAATTAAGTAGGAAAAACTGAGAAAACCTTTGAAATACCCTCCAAGAATGCCACAAATCTCCTAATGCGCTTGATGCGCACAACTTTTCTTAGTTTACTTAGAACCATCGCAGAGCTACTCTGGTCATCTTATGTAGAAAGAACTGGAACTGATGAGCTATTTATTGCAATTTACTTGCAAGTTCGGCAAAGTACTAACCGGAACATATGATATTCACAATGTTTACGGCAGGCAGCATTTTTGTCGTGGCAGCTTAAAACAGCGTTATCGCATCCTACCAAATCCCATGAAGTTTGATAAAATATGTAGTAAACATGTGGTCTCATCATCATCTAGTCCTTGAACTGATATTCCAGATGGACTCATTGGCTGCAATCGTCACATTACGTCAACTACGGATAGTGCCACCGATCAGCAGCCGCGATTTCCCGCCTACTTCAGAGGGGTCGTGGGTGGATCAAATCTTCTAAATGTACTTGGCTAGAGAGGGGATCCACGTGAAGTGTATGTGCAATATTTGTGCCATTTATTCTCATAATTGCGGTCGTTTTAGAGTTTGAAATGAACTACGCTATTTGTGTAATTTATCTGTTCTGCCTCCCCTCCAATTTGTCATCAAAGTCATTAAATGTGGTCCCCAGCATGCCGTGAATCCAGGTATCGAAACCATATCTATAGGAAAACACTGAACTTGGGTTATTTTGCTACGTGATGAGTTTTTTTCCAATCCCTCTGGTTTCCTTTTAACTTTAACGTCAAGAGCCGACCGGAGCATACTTTCTGCTGCTGCATAAATCTCAGGTGTAGTGTGATAATAAAGTCAAATAACACATTAACAAAGGACGAGTAACGTTCACTGACCTGCGTCTTTTCTGGTGTCACAAACCAGCATGCTTAAAGTCGGTCATTTGTGTCTGTGAAACAAATGTGAGAGGATCCAGGGCACTGACACAATATTCATAGAATGGTTAGCTGACTGAAGCATTCGCAGTCAGTTCAGTCGATTATTAAAAAATAATCGTTCGCCCTTCCGGTGCCTAGCTGCCATGCTACCCGAAGGAAGCACGAGGGCTGGGATACTGTCAGGTTGTCCAAGTCTAGACAGGGGAAGTCGAGAGGCAGAAGTCGGTTCGAACCACGGACCTTCCGGTCAGTAAATCCGCGCTTTAACCGCTTGAGCCATCTTGCCCCCGTTCAGTCGATTAGCTGCCACTCATTTACTGAGGCTAACTTGGTTTCGTCCCCTGTGTTTACGGTCACCAAAAAAACGGGTAGTAAACATGTGGTCTCATCATCATCTAGTCCTTGAACTGATATTCTAGATGGACTCATTGGCTACAATCGTCACATTACGTCAACTACGGATAGTGCCACCGATCAGCAGCCGCGATTTTCCGCCTACTTCAAAGGGGTTGTGGGTGGATCAAATTTTCTAAATGCACTTGTCTAGAGAGGGGAGCCACGTGAAGTTTATGTGCAATATTTATGCCATTTATTCTCATAATTGCGGTCGGTTTAGAGTTTGAAATGAACTACGCTATTTGTGTAATTTATCTGTTCTGCCTCCCCTCCAATTTGTCATCAAAGTCATTAAATGTGGTCCCCAGCATGCCGTGAATCCAGGTATCGAAACCATATCTATAGGAAAACACTGAACTTGGGTTATTTTGCTACGTGATGAGTTTTTTCCAATCCCTCTGGTTTCCTTTTAACTTTAACGTCAAGAGCCGACCGGAGCATACTTTCTGCTGCTGCATAAATCTCAGGTGTAGTGTGATAATAAAGTCAAATAACACATTAACAAAGGACGAGTAACGTTCACTGACCTGCGTCTTTTCTGGTGTCACAAACCAGCATGCTTAAAGTCGGTCATTTGTGTCTGTGAAACAAATGTGAGAGGATCCAGGGCACTGACACAATATTCATAGAATAGTTAGCTGACTGAAGCATTCGCAGTCAGTTCAGTCGATTATTAAAAAATAATCGTTCGCCCTTCCGGTGCCTAGCTGCCATGCTACCCGAAGGAAGCACGAGGGCTGGGATACTGTCAGGTTGTCCAAGTCTAGACAGGGGAAGTCGCAGAACAGAAGTCGGTTCGAACCACGGACCTTCCGGTCAGTAAATCCGCGCTTTAACCGCTTGAGCCATCTTGCCCCCGTTCAGTAGCTGCCACTCCGCGCTTTAACCGCTTGAGCCATCTTGCCCCCGTTCAGTCGATTAGCTGCCACTCATTTACTGAGGCTAACTTGGTTTCGTCCCCTGTGTTTACGGTCACCAAAAAAACGGGATCCGGGGGAGGCAAGCAAACAATTTGGGGTGGTTGTCCAATCAATCCATTGACGTTGGATTTTTCCAGTTGCCCGATGAGTTATGGAATCTGGCGGGTGTGTATTGAAGACGGCATTTGTAATACAGCAGCGTCACTGGCTGTCTGTTACTGATCGCTGTCTGTCAGCACGCACAGATTAGATGAGTCTCCGGGTCCCCATCTGAAGAGGCGTCGTCGTTAACCAACTGAGTTTGTCCGTTGATGCTTTCATCCTTCGTGCTGGACCAAAAGAACCCCACGAGGTAATACTAATAATACTAATGCTACTACTACTACTAATAATAATAGTTCAGCTGTAGTACGCTTCCGGCGCCTAGCTGCGTGCGACCTGAAGGAAAAACGAGGGCTGAGATACTCCTAGGTTGCCCACACCTAGACAGGATCACTCGAGGTGGTTGGGTTTGAGCCATCGAACTCCCGGTCAGTAAGTTCACGTCTTTACCGCTGCGCTATTTTAGACCAGTGTAACCTATGAAGCGTGGTTAGTTCATCCATCCGCTAAATTCATCTGACTTACCTCAACGTTGTCACTCCAGAGTCATCTCGTTTCTAGCTAGTTCGTCGGAACTGATGTGGCTTTTTAAGCAAGTAAATTCGTACAACACCTCGACTGACTGGTATGAAATCACAAGATATGGCTTTGGTCGCACCCAGTTCTGTAGCACGTGTGAAACTCATGCTGAGCCGTACAGTATACATGTAGATTTTTGAATTAGCTTGTATCTTCGCATCGGCAGGGGAACGCTCCAAAAACGTCTCCACTTCGGAGGCTACAAAGGTAGTAAGGGGCGGGGGTAGAAGCAGCACGTAAATAGAAAAGTAGAAATGAATAAATAACAATCGTTCAGTGGTATCACCCTTTCGGTGCCTAGCTGCCGTGCAACCCGAAGGAAACACGAGAGCTGGAATATTGCCAGGTTGCCCAAACCTAGATAGAGGAAGTCGAGATGCAGAGGTCGGGTTCGAACCACGAACCTTCCAGTCAGTAAATTCTCGCCTCAACCACTGAGCTATCTCGCCTCCAACAAACTTGAAGAAAAATGCAGGAAGAGGGATTTGTGCTTGACGAAATTAGGAGGAAGCTTGCTCCCACTGGGGACAAATTTGTAGGCGACACGATCTCGCATCTAAGGTGGCTGGAGCAGATGTTATGCATACCCTTTGTGGTCCGTATGGCTGATGTCTCCCACCATTCATTTCAGGGCCTTGTGCATCGCACCACATTCGTTTTTGTTAATTTTCTTCGCGGATGTTAGTAATGAGTTTTTAATTAGAAGCTCGAGATAGCTCGCTGGCTAAGATGCGAACTTACAGACCGAAATATCCGCTTATTCAAATCCGTTCTCGGCATCTCGACTGTTCCTGTGTAGGCTTAGACAACCTGACGGTATCTCAGCCCTCGTGCTTTCTCAGGGAAGCTATGCATCTAAAGGATGTTCATCATCATCATCATCAACAACAACAGCATGACATCAGTGCTCAACACCAATGCTTCACTGCCGTACAACCATCACTTATTTGAAAGAGTTATGGTAAAGAAAAGAATAGAGGTGGACGGGGAAGGGACTTAGTGCTAACTTAACACAGTCATTCCGAGGTGCCTACACCTCCAGACATTCATTCAGGCAATTTGGATAGAAACTGATAACAAGAACGCCACTGACATCGGTTGGCAGCCATCTTTCACCGGCATTCCATTTCATTCTAAGTAGTTTGTAGTGGCTCTGCTTAAAGGTGCGGTGGGAATCCTCAGCTGGTGCTGGCTCCTTTTTCAACAAGAGTACTTGGACTGTCACAGAGGAATAAGGTTGACTCCCAATACAGTCAGGCTCTGCGCCGGTTATTCTACGATGTCGTATGAGGGCGCGTGAGGACGGGATCCAAGACCTGCTAGCAGGATTCCGGCTGGGAAGGTTCTGGGTGATCACATCGTTACATTCGGTCCAATATTAGAGCGACGGTACTCATGTGGGGCCGCCTACACCCTCGGTGTTCTGTGACTCGTTGCACAAAAATGACATTCCTGGGTCTCAAAGGTTGCGTTTATCAGACTGCAGTTAGGACTGTATTGCTGCACGGCTGAGGAATTCAGGAAGCGGATGGGACATTTTCAGGTCTTTGACTATCAGTGCCTCGGAACTAGAGCGAGAATCGGCTGGAATCAGTGAATTCGGATTGGGCTGCCCAGGAAACGAGTCTTTGATGGGACGGGTAATACTTGAGTCAAATAATTCATCCAGTACTGTCATCTAAGGTGGCTGGAGCAGGTGTTATGCATAACGTTTGTGGTCCGTATGGCTGATGTCTCCCACCATTCATCTCAGGGCCTTGCGCACCGCACCGCATTCGTTTTCGTTAATTTTCTTCGCGGATGTTGGTAATGGGTTTGTTTTAATCAGAAGCTCGAGATAGCCCGCTGGCTAAGACGCGAACTTACGGACAAGGAGATCCTGTTATTCGAATCCATCCTCGGTATCTCAGCCCTCGTGCTTTCTCAAGGAAGCTATGCATCTAAAGGATGTTACAGCTGAGCGATTACTTTTGTTGATGTTTATTTTTCATCAGAAGTACCATGTTCAGAGTACTTTCTACAGCAGTGGACCAGGGTACCGGCCAAGCTGTTGGTATGTGCCCTATATGCACCGCATATTGATTGATTAATTGTCCCATTTTAACATCCTACCTTGTCGTCTCCGAATTCAATATCCGCGCTCATGAGTAGTAGGATTCGGGTTCCACTCTCTCGGTTAACTTCCGGTGACAACCAAGTTTCCCAGTGGAAGTTCACTACTTGTCATTTGTCACTTGCCCAATTCTGTCAGCACGCTTATTTGCCGTCTCTCCACAATCTAGAGTGCCACGGGTGAGGCGAGTCTCGAGGTTGGAATGGCATTGCGTGTGACGACCGATCCAAAGTATGCTGACAATTGCTCGGAAAAACTTGTCTACGTGGATTACCCGAATATTGTCCACGTACTCCAAGTCGGTTCGAAGATCTTTCTGGATGATGGACTCCTCAGCCTCGTTGTTCGAAGCAAAGGTTGGTTTCATTGTGTTTCTTTCGATTGTTTTGTTGCCTTTGTTCAGACAACTACCAAGAGTGACATTTTGCTACTCGTTTTTATTTCTATGTGACCGACCGTACAACAGGTCGATCAATGGACGGGGGACGAAAATCCCACTGCAGGCGGAGGTACTTCATTTCACTTCCCATAAATATCCTCCAAGTCAATTCTGCATTCGTCTGATTTTCCCAGTATGATTGACACGAATCATTCAGGGTGTTTGCCCCTAATCTTTCGATCACTCCCCTTCATAGTGTTGTCCAGTGACAAAACTTCCAAGCTTGGCGGAATTCACGACGAATTCACCCAGCTGTTAAGCAGGAGCTATTTGCAAATCCGCACTCTCTCACCGATAGACTGACATACCGACCTTCTTTTGGCACCAGCAGCCAATGGAATGCTTCATTGGCGTTCCACACTGCAAGATCATATGGCCTATTGTCACTAGCCATTTTTTGCCTCACCTATCCTGTCTCTGTATTCTCGTTTTTTACTTGGTCTCATGTTAAATGTGTTAAATGCTAGACATCAAACGGGCTTTTCCCCTCGGTTTTCGCACCCTATCCAATTAAATGTGTTCGCTCAAAATAAGCCACCCGTATTACACACGGCAAACCGGACTAGTCAGTTTTTCGGGGACCGAAATACCCCCGAAACGTTCATTCACAGAGATAGAGTACATAGATGATGTTTTTCTCCTTGGTTCAGATCCTCTTCAGTGATTCAAGGCGCGCTAAGTAACCTAAATAATTTTTTTATCGCACGGTGTGCTTCACATCTCCAAATTGTGAATTGCTGCTACAATGCTGGGTGGAATCGAACCCAAACTTCATGCTTGCAGACCAGCCAATGTCGTGTTAGATCAATTTATTCAACAGAGAAATTGTGTAAGTTCCGCTTTACTGGTTTAAGACGAGATCACTTGTCGAATTAGAGAAGTCATGGGAGCACTTACCAACCTCCGACCTCTATGGCATCGGAATGATATCAGTTTGACGCGCAGATGTACGAAAACTCACGACGCTGACCACCGAAACATTGGGGAGTCTGGTGGGATTATCTGATCAACAATGTGAAGACCAATGGTCTTAGGAAGATGGGACTCTCCCGGTGCTCGCATCTCATGAGTAAACGTGACAGGCATAGGTCATTATTTCCAGTCTCGTAATTTCTTCAGTTCACATCAATGTTTTGCACCAGTGGGAGGTCTCATCAATTAACGGCGTGTTCTTTTTATGCACTGTAACAAGTCCATAACAAGTCACTTCCCTGTCTTCTACTTTTCCAGCCCAAGTTTTCTCAGCTCTAAGTGTCTTACGTCATTCTGGTCTTACTTATGCGGTATCTCGTGAGAACTCCGCCTATCTCTCCTATCCCCACAGGTCCGGATTTCTTGGACTGTGAAGTGGAAAACGGTGGAAAGTTGGGTTCACGCAAAGG